TGGATCTGTAATGCTGATTTTCAGCCCACCCCACTTGGAAGAGTAATGCAATACAATCTTTCACTTTCATTTTCCTACCGCAGGAGTGATGGTAGTGTAGGTTGGTGGTTTTATTGGTCTGTGTTAATTGTTATAGTGGGGGTTGTGCTTGTGTGTGTGGTGGTATTGTTGGTAATAGTGCAGGTAGTGTTAATAATAGCTGTTGGTGGTTATGTTTTGGTAGTTTGGGTGTTCTTGCGTTTTAGTGTTCTACCATTTTTTTTCTTTCTTTTTTCCTCTCTTTCTTCCTTTTTTTCTGTAGTTTCATTCCTGGCCTGTATTCAGTTTTGTTGTAATATTATCCGTTTTGTATGAACTGTGATAGATATTTCTTTTCGTGTCTGCATTTTGAAATTATTTCCGATCTTTGGTTTAGTAATTCCTTTTGTTGAGTGTGGGAGATTATTGCCACTTTTTTCGTGTAGACAAAGTAGACATTTCTTTGATATGTTATTGTAGGCAGGCGCGTTTTTCATGATTTTCCATCTTATTTTTGGTATGGTGTTTCTGTCTTTTAGTTGCCATATGTACGTGGATAGCGTGATGATGTTGAGGTATTTTCTGTTGGAGAACGAGAGGTAGAGGGTGTATTTCTTTGCTTGAATGTTCCTTCTGTGGCGTAAAAGTAGTAAATTATATTGTTGTTTGCGTTTACCTTATCTTTGTATTCTATGTTTGTTTGTAGGCAATTTTCTTCTAGTGTGCATGTAGTTTTGTTTCTGCAATTGCATTGGGGGTTTTTGATTACGCCATTGCAAGTTATTATTTTTTTGTTGTGGCTTTTTATTATTTATGTTATGTTTTTAGTGCAGCTGTAACTAACCTTTACGGTGTTTTTGTTAAATATTTTGGCTAAGGGGTTTGTTACGGGGAAGTGTTTTATTTTTTTTTATAAGATTTAGGAATGTCCTGCTGATGTTTGTTCTGACGGTTTTGTTGTATGGTTGGTTAAACCAAATTATATTTTTCTGTTTTTCCGTTTTGGTTGTAGTGTGTGTATTCTAGCTGCTGCTTGTATCCGCTTTTAGTGCGTTGTTACATGGCGATATTTGTCGTTAAAATTTTCTATGTTGGATAAATTGTCTGATAGTCTTCGGCTGATGGAATTGAGTATGTGCTTGCTGATTGAGGGTGGATGGTTGGAGGATGTGCATATGTATGTGGAAGTGTCATTATCCTTTTTATATGGTTCATAAGTTTTTTTGTTCAGGTTGAGAGTGACATCTAGGAAGTTTACCCTTCTTGTGTCTGTATTTATTTCTATTTTTTCCTAAATCTACCTATTTTGTAGCCATTGAGTTCTCTTATTTGGCTTAGGCCATCGTCTCTATATAGGTCCGTGTTTTTTTTTCTCTAGTATTCTGGCTAGGTATGAACGGATAAGGATACCTACCAGATCGCAGGTTTTAAACCCGTCATAGCTTCCCATTGTTACATCAAACAGGCCGTTATTTTGATTTTCTTTTTTTTCCCCATGGTTCGTTGTTCGTTTCGATTTTTTTATTATACTTTCGTTTCCATCACCATTAAGGCTAAATTTACCGTAAACATATCAATAATTAATATTAACATATTAATAATAATTAATATCACAGTTACTATCACTAGCAAAATAATAACAATCGTCAATAATACACAAGCAGTCAACGTTGAAAATACAAACATCATCAACACCATGCCTACAAAAAGTATCCAACTTAACCAAAGTTGGAGGAAAGACCCTGACCAACAGAAGTTTATGTGCGCGTCTACATGTGTGTGTGAGGAAGTGTAAGTTTGTAAGTGTAAGTTTGTCTGACGACGCAGGCGGTAGATCTGAAAACGACAAGAACACATCTATCTGCTCCTTGTTGAAAGGAACATCCCAACACCAAAATAGAATTAAAATTGCGTATGTATGTATGCCCGAATGCATGGATGTGTATCTGCGCCTAACCTCAGATTGTTTATATGGTGCGTGTGTGTAAATTAAAATGCGTACACCTGTATGTATGTATGTATGTATGTATGTATGTCTATGTGTATGAGAATGTCATCCCGAACAAGCAAAGGAAGAAATTCCCCCTCCTACCACCAAACATAGTCAAATAAGCATAAATAGATCCAGTTTAAAGCGTGGAACCCAGGGTCACTAAGTCATATCCATACAACTGAATATGTTAGCTCTATCACTAATATTGAGCGCTTTCCACATACAAAATTATATATATACATATATATATATATATATATATATATATACACTGTGTGTGTATTTAGGCAGCATCTTTTCATTCATGCACGTTTCATTAAATAATATAGACATATATATTGAACAGTGTCATAATTGTTAGTTAATAGCCTATAACCAAGCTTGATAGGAAATGTCTTCACCAATTCTGAAAACATGCAGATAAGCATCGTAAAATAGATGGACACAATTAATAGATTTAATATCTCTTAAATTAATAGATTAATTTAAGAGATATTATTCTTATTTATTTCTTTATACTCCGCTAATCGTGGCGCTATTTATTTAGTTTTTGCTTTACTGCAAAACTTATGAGTTAAACTACCATTATGGGAAATAAACCCTATTTCCAAGACAATTACATACCCACACACATACAATATTAAAACACGCCCAAACTTTATTTTCTCCCCAGCAACAGATAATATTACAAACATGCCAAAAAGATTCCACAATACAACACACACCGTTTAAATAAAAGTGTCTATTGGTTAGAAATTAACATCATGATGTGAAATATTCGACCAATCAAAGAAAACTAAAAATCTATTTTTTCAAGCTTACTTTCGGGGAAAATTTCTTATAAAACCCCCACAGATTTCGACTTTCAGGGAGCAGAGATGCGACTGTCTATACACCCACCTCACCCCCAGCGCGTGCCGAAAGAAACATGCTTCGGCGACTTCAAATGAATCATCTCCAACAATAAAAGCCTTTTCTCAACCACAGCTTTTTTTTCTTTTTCTATGGACCAACTACTTAAAAGTCTTTTCTAAACTACAGATTTTCTGTTGACCAACTAAACAAAGACTTTAACTCAACTAAAGACTATTTTAGCTTTGAATTCCTGTACACATGTTTATAAATACAAATGACTTATTTAACAAGTATAACTATGTTTTCTTTATTTTCATTTTGTTATTGCTTAGAATTCGGACGTTCGCATTTTTAATACAACAAAACCTGGACGACTTAATTTCCTACACCATCATATGAACACATCCAAACAGTAAAAACAACTGCTCCACAAGAAAAGAACGTGATATATTTGTGGCAATCTACAATGAATCTAGCATTATTAGCCACTTTTAATTTTTCATGATTTAAAAAAAAAAAAACTAATGAAGGGATTCGAAGAAATATTTGCACTATTAATGCGCGGCATCTTTCACTTAATATATATATATATATATATTATAATAGACTACATGACACTCTTACAATGTGGTAACAGTTTTATGAATTTTACCGGATTTTCACAAGTTCTACTTCATTAGTCAGATTACTGAAAGGCTCCAAAACATGTAATTAATAACTATAAATGCAGAATGTACACAATAACAAATGTTTTGAACAAAAAAAAAAAAAATTGAAAACAGTGTCGTTATGATAATGAAAAAGTTATAAAAATATAATTGATGCTCCATGTTCTGAAACTAGTTTTAGAAGTCGTTCGTTTGTGTTAGCTGTTGTATTTGTTCATATGCAAAAGACAGTGGTGGACTTGCCAGGGTGTCAGCTTACCCGACGTCAGGTGGGCCGCCTATATCAAGTAAAAATGCAATAAAAAGACACAGGCAACTGTTTTAGTAATAAAAATGAATTAGAGACTTATAAAGAGATCTGCACTCTATCGGTTACTCACATTCAATGTGAGAGGATATTTTAAAAAACTAAATGTCATAAAGACATGGTTGAGAAATTCGCTGTCTGAGGAGAATTTGGAATCATACACGTTTCTATCCATTGAAAAGGAATTGTTAGATGAATTAGGTGCAAAAGAAATTGGCAGATTCAAACTATCATCTAGTAAACACAAACGATTGCTCTTAACTATTGGACTGCATGCAATGTTCTATTGTGCTTTTAAACTATCTGTTAATTTGTAAATTGTGCAATAAACTATTTAAAATATCAACCAATTATTTAAACTAAAATTAAAATAAATAAAAAATTCTATTATAACATTCCGTATGTACATTTAGTAAATACTACCAGTAATATGTATAGTACATGTACATTGTACTTACTAAGAAATACACATTTTTCCACAAAATTTTAATTGTACCCTTTATTCCATATGTATTTTTTTAAATTTATTTATTCGTTTTGTAACTTGTATGATAGCATTGTAGTTGTAGATGGGTTGCCTTTGTCTGAAAACAACCAATATTTTTAAACCCAGTTCGCCATTGACGGCACAGCATCCTGAAATGCATCTTTGTTGCTAAATTATTGTCTGCCAATGTAGATTTTCCTCTTAACAATGTTCCACGAATTTTCAATGGTCGAGAAACAAGTTAGATTAGTATTTTTGAAATCTATTTTCTTTAGATATCCATTAGTTTTTTGTTTTTTTTTTTCTGAAAGTCATGGAACATTTTCCTGCATAAAAATCAACTTCTTTCTCAATGCGCTTGGCTTCTTCTTTTATTATGGCTCCACATGTACCTTCAAAAATCAATTTATGTCTGAGCTATCATCTTAACACCATGTTGAACTCGTCATGTCCTACTTGCTAATTTACCACCTATAATTCCGCCCCAAAGCATTATATCACCTTAGATTTGGTGACGTATCAACCTGTAAGGACAATTTCCACAAGCTATTCTGCTCTCCAGCTAGCTCATCAAGAGGAGCATAATATTCATCGATAAAAAAAGAGAAGAAAGAAAAATCGATCTTCACGTATTCTGCTACTCATTTAATTCAACTTTCCTTACAGATATTTTAAAAGGAGCCCTAGTAATTATTATATAAACGCCTCCCCGCGACGCTGGATAAAAATCGGAAAAAAGGTCCGACTTATTTTTCTTGTTGCGAATTGTAAAATTTTAAGATCAATTTCTTTGTTCTGAAAGTGAATCATTTGTTTAAAAATATTTAGCCAGAATACATATGCGGAAAAGCTGAAAATTTGATGAAAGATTTGAAAGAATTGCTATTCAACTTACCAAAATATTTCCGGCTCCACTAAGTCTTGTGAGATCATAATGAACACAAAACTCTGCTGTTGTTTTCTGACTGAGTCTGCGCAACTGTGACGCCGAGGCGGAATACTTTATAGTGGTGGCGCGAGCGCTGGTCTTTTGAATGACAACAGACGACTTCGAATCTAGCAAGAACAAATAATACATGAACTTTTTTTATGCGATCATGAAATGCGTCGCAGCAGTTAATTTCTGAATAAATAAGTGGTTAATACATGCCATGGAAAATTTAAATAAAAAGAAAGAAAGAACAGTAAGATATGTAATCCGGTGTTCTTATTGATATTTTTATTTTTTACAAAATAGTGCTCAATGTAAATTTACAGAGCATTAATATTATAAATTAACTGATTTAAAATATATTTTTTCGATACACAGTAATAACCATGTTTCAAAAATGGAAGCTAAAAACTTTAAATTTAATTTTGTAATTAAATTAAAAACATTAGTTCCATTTTATCCTCAAGCGAATTACAAAATTAAATTTAAAGTTTTTAGTTTCCATTTTTGAAACATGGTTATTACTGTGTAGCGAAAAAACCATATTTTAAATCAGTTAATTTATTATATATATATATATATATATATATATATATATATATATATATATATATATATAAAATTTATTGCATATGCATGTTATAAGATCACTACAAAAGTTGAACTTTTGTTTCGACATTTCTGGTGTCTTATCAAGTTGAGCATTATATATATATATATAATCATGGCTTCGCTTCGCGAAACGAAGATCAAGAGGGAGTCTGTACACGTCGCTTGCAGGCACGATTGTAACTGATAAGTCGAAAGCGGGACAGGCATACACGGTCGCTGTAGTTGCAGCTGAAAGTCCGGCTTGGGCTCGGTGAGACAGCGTTTCAGCACTTCCTCTTCTGCCTCTTACCTCTGAGTGCGATTGCAGGTATTTTCAAAGAAGTATACAGTATGGTTAGTGGTGAGACGCCAGGCGTCACGGTTCACCTTTAGGGTTGACCATTGACAATGGTTGATATAACAGGCACCAAAGGATTTCTTCAGGCAATCATGAATCGTATCTTTGGTGCCCAAATATATATATAATTCGCCAAAAATAGCAACTGTCGAAAGAAAAGAGGAAAAGAAAAAAAAAAGAAAAACCTCAAGAGCGAGTGTAAAAGGGAAAATGCAAGTACTTTCGAATTGTACACAACCGTCAATAATAGCACATTCTCAAAAAAAAAAAAAAAAAAAAAAAAAAACATCTTTCGGTCTACAAACAATTATTTCGTCTCCAAGTTTTGATTTTATAAGGAAAAGATATACCTGACGATGAATAAAGGATTATTCGAAAGTACTTGCATTTTAAAAAAATATAAACTGGAAACAACAGACAACAGTTTTATAAATGAGGATCACATCTTTCTATGGATTAACAGTATTTTAATGCATACATTATACACTACTAACGATGGATGTCGCCAATAATAGCGTTAATATTGCTGATTGATTCTATACGTGATTATTTCTTTATATACTGTATTGAAGCAACAGATAATTATTTAAACATATATTGATAAATATAACAGACAATGAATGTCTATTATGTTTGATCATGAGCCGTTCTAAACTTTGTATATTTGCTTTAATTTCGGGAGAAAATAAGGACAAAATTGTACAACATTTGAATATTTTTTATTATGCTTTTCCTTGAACTAAGCTTTCGGCTCACATGAGCCATCTTCAGAGTGGTTATATGGACATTTAAACGAAGATATTCACCGTCAAAGATGATATTTACGACCTGCGTCTGCTATTCCGCGACCGTTATCGTCGCATAGCAATCTTCTATGTCAGCATAAAAGAATGCCATCTTTGATTGTGAATATCTTTGTTTAAGATGAAATCCTGTTATGTTTACATAGAAGTTTGCTATGCGACGATAACGACCTCTTTGATAGTGAACATCTCTGTTGTAACGTCCATATAACCATTCTGATGGTGACTCATGTGAGCTGAAAGCTTAGATCGATGAAGAACATAATAAATAAACATCCAAATATTGAACAGTTTTTGTCTTTATTTTCTCCTGAAATTAAAGCCAATATACGAAGCTTGGAACAGCTCATGATCAAGCATAATAGACATTCATTGTCTGTTATATTTAACAATATATATATATATGTATGTGTGTGTGTGTGTGTGTGTTTATACAATCATGCCCAAAACATGGCAGTGTTTTAATGTTGGAGATATACTTTTTCCATAGTGGGTAATATCAAGTTTTGGCATTTTTGCTCATCTATACTAATAAAATTTAAACAGGCTTTTATTACAACTGGATAATGAAGTCATTAAATTGAATAATTTTCATTGAATCTTTTTTTTTTTTATGATGAGGAATTCATTAAAATTTTTAATTACAGAGTTTAAATTTTCTTGTTGGCAGACGTTCATCCTGGCGTAATTAAATTAATTCGGGATAATAAAAATTGATATAACAATGAATGTAATTTCAAACTGTTTAAAGCTTTTTAATTACGCAAAAAGAATTTTTATGGTTAAATTTATGCTATTAAAGAAAAAACTGGAGAGAAATAATAATAGATTGATGAAATTAATTTAATAAATTAATAAATACGTTGCTTAAACAAAAATCAATTAAATTTTTCTACACAGAATTTATTACAAATATTAATATAAATTAGATTTGACATTTATCTGGAGCACACTATTAAAATGTTATTTTATTGCAATATTTATTATAAACTAAATTTTATCTTGTTTTACTAGCCAGAAGCAAAAATTATGTCTTAATGCGTATGTGTTTTCTTTCTAACTAAATTTGCGACTTTTCCTTCAAAAGTATTCTTATCATTTTGAAGTGTCAATTGACATTTCAAAACGATGATTTACAAACGCTTTAAATCGTGCTTTAAATACACAAAAGTAATTTCAGTTTTTTCATCGCTTTGGTTTTTATTGCAATTAAAACCAAAATTAAAACCAAAATTAAAACTTCAAAGAATATATGTAAATTTTAAATTCTGCAATAAGTTTTAAAATTGCTGCTAAAACGTTTATGATCAAATTTCATTCTTTAATAGAAAACTGATACCTGACTTTATCGATTCACACTTCATTGATCCCCCATTTCATGTACAGACACGCTAAAAACAGTTTCTTTTTTGTGTATGAAAAGTAATTTTTCTTTACATTACTTTTTAGTAAGACATATTTTGGGATTATATATGCAAAATATGATAAGTGCAGTTACGTTACACTTTTAGATATCAAAAAAACAGAATGACACATTTTATATACTACAATACAGTGGCTAGTGGCGTTAGTACACACATTAGTTATTATACATGAAAAATGTCTATGTTAATGTTATTAGTTAGGTAACTTTGTATATTATGTTATTGGTTAAACGTTTGTTGGTAAGTTTTCTTTATTTCTACAATTCCATTTGACGGTATTATTATGCTGGTTGTTATTGCTATTGCTGTTATTATTGTTATTAATTTTGTTGAGTATTATTTTATAGTTAATACTTAATTATTATTTTTCGATGTTATCGATGCAGTTATAAATAATTTTGATTGTATTTTTATTAATAACTTTTGATAATTTGCTGTTTTTAGCGAAACGTTTGTCAATTAGAATATTTGGCCAACTTTTGTTTTTATTATATTGTTATAAGGTGGATTGAACTAAATTAAATTTCGTTTTCTGTTCTTTTGTTTGTATTATTTTCCTTTGTATATACTAGTTTGTTTGAATATCCGTTGTATCTTACGGCTGATTCGGATGCTTTTTTATTTTAATTGAATATTTTTAAGATACTAGAATTTGTTGAAAGTCTTTTATTTATAGATATGGGTATTTGTTTGAATATGTTAGGGCGGTGGTTAGAATTTTTGATTAGGTCAGTTTTTCTGCTGTTACAATTCCTTAGTATTAGTAGCCCATCGTCTCCGTATAAACCAATATACTTGGTAATTTGTTGATTATATATATATATATATATATCTACAAGCTAGCATACATTACGTCATCATTTTTACGTCAAAGTTATATATATATATATATATATATATTTATATATTGTAAGAGCCAGGGCGCAAATTTACTGAAGATGACCATGCGATCACTAACTACAATTTCCTACGATCTAAATGTCTAGAGAGTTCCTTGTTCGCAAAGTCATCTACTATATATATATATATATATATATATATATATATATATATATATATATATATCTCAAAATAAAATGAAAGAACAGTCAGATTTATAATCCACATTTCTTTAGCATTTATTTTTAAAACCAGTGCTCGGTATATAGTAGAGCATAATATTATAATATTATTATTTAAAAATATGAATACATTGCGACACAGAAATTACCATGTTTCGGAACTAAAAACTAAACTTTACATTAAAATTAAAGTTTTTGTTCCATTCTCAAGCAATGTTGCATAACTTTCGAAATATATATATATATATATATATATATATATATATGTGTGTGTGTGTGTGTGTGATCGGATATTGTTTTTGCGTTTCCACAGGAAGCCACATTATGTCTGTGAGAAAGTGAATGTAGACGAGATGCCAAATCAGCACCTATCACATTGCATATCCGTCTCTGGATTTTGTCGAGGTTACTCTTAAATTATTCCTATGGTGCGCGACTTTTTCCTCACTTTTTATCAATGTTATACGCCTGCGCCTTTTACGTCATATGTTATAATGGTGTCTCCAAGTCAGGAGAGTTTGCCAGTTTTGTGGCATTATTTTAAACTGAGCCTCAAAGTCGCCGAGGGTGCTGGTATAATTTCAGAAATATAAAGATATTAATTAATATCTGGCCTTAGTGCCCAAAACGTAAACGTATTAAGTGATATGAATTGTCCATTGAAATAAAGCCTATACATAAACGATAATCAGTTGTCGATTGTGATACTTTAAAACGTAAAGTAAAACAGAACCCGATGACCAACACGCAAAAACATTATGAAAAAGTTTGGATCATTGACATATACCAGTTGGTGAACATGTAGAACATACCACACATAAAGTTTCAAAAGCATAAAGATATGTAAAAAATTGAAAATACTTTTGATATATCCTAATATTTTTTGTTAACTGTTTGTGGAGGCGGGTCTATTAAATAAAAATCATGTTTCCCTTAAAGAGCACGTGGAAAAAATGGACTTCAGTTAAATAAATATTGTTACTCGTTTTCTTTTTTCTGTCCGTCACGAAAACAGTCGCTTACTGTTTAAAATGTCCGGTGAAGACTTTTATATTTAATCGAAGAGAAAATGATAAAATAAAATAAATAAAAGATGTTGACATTCCACACGAGGTTAGGAAGATAACCCCTACCAATACTGGTGTAGTGGATTGGTAAATAGGAATGTAACTATTTGCATGTTAAATAGAAGAGAAATAAAGTTTATATAGTAAAGTAAAGACATGCAGAAGTTGATTACTGATCACGTGTCGTAGAACAACATAATACAACAACTAGAAAGATCGATTATAGCTACTGGATTTGACGAACTTAGTTTCCTTAAAAAATTGTTATAAGTGAAAGAATTTATAAATTTCAACCAACAGTAGTAAAAGCTGCTTGGTCGATAAATGCCGAATATTTCCTTATAAGGAAACGGCTAATAATACCATTACCCTTACTTTTGCTGTTTTTTAGACGTTACCTCTGTAAAAACTGTGTTATTTTATACAATCATCTTCTCACAAAGTATAAAAAGGGTTTGTAAATATTTTTTATGACTAAATGTAAAACTTTTCTTCATTTGAAGTTATACGGGCATATTAAATTCTAGATGATCCTTTTTTTACGAGGGAATAATTTTTATGAATATGGGCATTTTCCGACGAAAGTCCCGTGATTGTCATTGATTCTTTATTAAAAAGAATCGTTATTTCAATTTAGTAGATGCTCTGATCGCCCAACATGAGAACTATGGGAAGATAGTATTTACGAAACATTCTTCACAACTTTCCCATCGAAAGTGACAGCCAAAAGTCCCGAAGATTTTCGTCAAGAATTTAAGTTAAAATAAGAAAGAAAACTGCCGAACGGAATTATAACAGACACAAACTAACCGATCATTGGTGGCACCTTCACTTTGGAAATAGCATTTGTTTCCTCAATGTCCACTTGAATGTCTAGAGTATCCATATCTTGTCCAGGGATTAGATAAATCTTCTGCTCATATTGTCCCAGCCGCCTGTCTAGCAATTGCTCGTAGGATAATGACAAGGTCATCCGACTTTTGGCTGGTGCGTGCAATTGTAAGGAAAATGCAGCTGTTCCAGGTGACCTGAAAATGAAAAATGAATTTTTTTCAGTCAAAAAGTTTGTTCATTAGGCAATATCTATACTTAAATGATTAAGGGAAACCGAGGAAAATATGACTATTGTGCCTCAATATGGAAAAAAAAACAATTTGGCGTGGTTTTTATTAATATCACAATGATTACTCACATCATCTAACATATTTAATTTAATAGGATATATGTCGTAATCCAACATAAGCCAAAAAAAAAAAAAAGATATGTTATTTTTTTAATTCGATGAATTATACACTTCTGTTTGTTATATATATTTGTTATTAACCTAAAATATATATCCTTTCAGAGTAGATAATCAAAAATTGATTAAGCAATGCCTGCATGTACTTTCTTAGTGATTCTAAAGATTAACTTCGGTTTGAGCATCTTTTAGAAAAGAATTAGTAATGATCGTTAGAACAGGAAGGCAAAGTAGTAATTAAAATGAGAATCGATGTAGCAAACAACTGATCTCGTGTTACTAAGATTCATTTAATTCTTTTTGTTTTATTTACTTCTCTTTTGTTTACAGATGAACGGTGTATTTTATGATAATTTTTGTTACAAGAAGCTAAATAAAAAATTCATTGTTTACGACGCACATCACGTGGCGCCATTTTGTAAAACATTGCTCACGCATATTGTTTAATAACGTTACAGTAGCAGGCAGTAAATCAATGGCAATAAATAACAGATGTTTCTTGTTGTTTCTGCAGAAATACAGAAGCATGTAACTGCCTTGTCAATAAAATTAGATTGATATGTGCATTGATATTAACATTCCATTACACACACACACACACACACACACACACTGCTCGTTGTTCGGTAGTAAAACAGAAATATAAGCTAAGAAAATCTGAGTTTTGAAATGGGCATCGGTTGCAAATATTTTCAATTTAACGGTATCATCACTATGTAGTTATGGCAACAAAAACACGAAAATGTAAGAACTGTACATTGAATTTGTCCTTATTTTGGTATTTTGCCTTTATTTTGTAAACAGGTTATTATTATTAACCACTAACTTGAGTGGCTCTCGAGCCTTGTATTGTGTAAACTTTAGTATAAAAAATTTAAATTCGGTTGGCATGTGGTGATTGTTGCATTCTCATTTTGAATATATATATATAATTGTGTGTGTGTGTGTGTGTATTTTGTTATTGGTGAAATTCAGGTAGCAAAGTATAACAGTGATTTGGTGATTTCCAGACCTGATAAGGGTGCTGGTGTGGTCCTTATGGACTACACAGATTATGCCGCTAAGATGTCTTTAATCTTGAATGGTACATCTAAATTTATGCAGCTTGGCCCCGTTGAAAAATGTGACGTTACCACTTCAATAGAAACAAAATTTCAAAAACAACTTTTGAGGTGGGTAAAAAAAGTGGGATTCTTCCCCCGGAAGTTTCTGAGGAAATTAACCCTTCTGACTCAATCCGATCCCTTCTCTATGGCCTTCCAAAAATCCATAAGGATGGGGGTACCTTTAAGATTCATACTTTCTATGATAGGGTTTTCTCAACATAAGATCGCCAAATGGTTCGCTATAGTGTTGCAACCTGTTTTACAACACCATAATTCTTTCTATATAAAGGATTCTTTTTCATTTACAGGTCGTATCTAGAATTGTTCCTCTTCTGGTGAGTTCATGTGTTCATTTGATGTGTACTCTTTATTTACTTGTGTTCTTCTTTTGGAGACAATTAATATTTGTTGTGATTTTCTTTATCGTAGCTCTTTGTCTCCTTCAGATATTCCTGAAAAAAGTGTTCTTTGAACTGATGAAAATTGCCACTTCATCTGTTGAATTTAGCTTTGATAACATTATGTATCGACAGATTGATGGTGTTGCTATGGGTTCACCTTTGGGCCCTGCACTGGTAAATATATTTGTTGGTTTTCATGAGGAGAGATTGCTTAGTTCACAATTATATTGTCGGTATGTCGATGATACTTCTTGTTTATTTAATGATGAAGTTGAGGCGGATCAATTTTTCTCCTCACTCAATAGTCTTCATCCAGCTCTGAGGTTTACGGTTGAGAAAGAGTCTAATTCCCAGCTTTCCCTTTTTGATGTATTAATGCATCGTACTCCAACATCGTTTTTGACCTCAATATATAGGAAGTTTACATTTGCCGGGTTGTACATACGTTGGGTTCTTTTTTTGTCTGAAGGAGCGGAAGATAAACCTCATCAAAACTCTTACTCATAGGGCGTTGGTGATCTGTTCTGGGGCTTTCATGGGCAGTGAAATCGATTTTGTGACGAGGACTCTGTGTAACAATCGGTATCCGCCTAATGTTGTTCTGTCATTCGTGACAAGATCGCTAATTTCAGAAAAATTAAGCCCGTTACGTTAGAAAGGTGCACTGTTTATTTGCGACTTCCATGGATTGGAGCTGACTGTGAAAACCTATCCAGACAAATGACTTCTAGTGTCGGCGAATGTTACTTTTTCCGCTGAGGTTCGTGTCGTATTTAATACCAGGCTGATCCTCTCATCTATTCGTAAGGATGTTCTCCCCAATCATCAAGTGAACTCTGTTATATATAAATACAATTGTAGTTGCAGAGTCAACTACATAGGGAAGATTACCCAACTACTAGATGCAAGAATAAAAAAAAACACGTGCCTAATAGGATCAGGAATCCTACTTTAGTTCCAAATGAACTGACCCAAAACACCTATGGCTCCTCAATTTGTGAGCACCTGATAAAGAACAGGTCTGCAGCTGAATTTAGTGTTGATTGGTTTACTGTTTTGTCCGAGTCACACTCTTTATTTAACTTAAAAGTACTGGAGTCAATGTATATCAAGTCTCGCAAACCTTCTCTTTATAAACAGCGTGATTGTTTGCTGGGGCTTGCTGTAATTAGTCTCTGGTACTCCTCCTTTGTCCTCTCATCAATCATTCGCAAATTAAAAAAAAATATTGTATTTTACCTTTTGTACTGCTGATTAAAAACCTTAAAGAGCGCGAGAACAGGTTGTTTTCCTCTTTCATTTTTTTTATTATATATATATATATGTGTGTGTGTGTGTGTGTGTGTGTGTGTGGTTGTAGCTTTTAATTATGCCAAGTAATATTCAGCTAAATGTCTTTACAACAATAATCGAGTTATGTACCACTAAGAATGTGTGTGTATATATATATATATATATATATATATATATATATATATATATATATATTTGAAGTACCTGGCGTTGCCCAGGTGTACATGGCTGCAATTGTATAAACGCACCCCATGTCTAGAAATGTCTGCCTTTGTCCCTGCTTGCATGCATCATCCGTTGGTATACTAAGCTTCCCACCTCATCTTTTTTACGGTATGTCCTTCGCAAGTGTTTGAATGTTCTTAATAAAGGAATTCCATCTTTAAAACCTTCTTGTGTGGTCGTTGCTCGGGGTTAAATTCTTTCAATGTTTTAGATATTCAGTAAATTTCCTATGCGCTTTCAAATAGTATGGCATTGTTCGCAAATCTAATAATCAAACAAAAACAGGGATGAAGCGTCAGAGTTTGATTCAAGTGCAAACGCATGAACACCCCCTCCTTCTTCGTACGTTTACTGTAAAGCTGGGATTCATAAGACATTCTTTTAGATTTTTTTTCCCCTTTTAACGCTTCAATAATCCTTCTTAAACAATCTTTGCATCAAAGGTTGTTCGAACTCCAGTTTAGGATGGAATCATATGAAGAAACTATTAGCTAAATGGCAAAAGCTAATTTTGGACCTAGTTTGTTGCAGATTTCGTCCACTTAACGGAAACAATATAAACTAAACATTCACGTAAGACAATTTGTGTGTCATATGTAATTTACATGGCAAATTTAGAAAGCATCAGATGAAAATCCAGGGAGTTATGGCCGAAAAATGGGCTTTTGGGGCAGTTTTTCGTGATTCTTCGTTTTACACGAAGAAGCGAGCAGGACTAAAACCACACTATCTTAGTTTTTGCATGATGGCCTTTTTGCGACATGTTTGAGCAAAATCGGATAAAAATTCTTTATAGTTCTTATTTTAAGCAGTACGAAAAACGCGATTTTTTCAAAGTTTTTTCAAATTTTTTGTGAGAAGCCAATATCGCAAGAAAACTATCAAGCACTCTAAACCTCATAACATGAGCTGTTTTGCATTACGTGCAAAGAACATAAGCTCATTCAGCAAAAAAATTGTTCGTATGTAACTTTGCCTTGGTTTTTGCAAAAATGCGTACCCACCTTCAGTTTTATCGATTTTTTTTTTGTCAAACCCAGGGTGGCGGGATTGAAAAGTTGGTCTTGACCTAAGTTAGTAAATTTCATTGAAATCTGTCGAGAAATGTGGACTTGCATAAATAGCATATATACACAGACACACAGACACACACACACACACACACACACACACACACACACACAAACAAACATCTTCTGTTTTATAAATTATTCTAATTAAAATTTAATAAAAAATGAAAATAAATCTTGTAAAAATTCATAACTCATCAATTTTTTTTTCAATACTATCCTTAATATATCATATTCATAAAAGCAATTAAAAGCTTTTCTAATTAAATAATGTTTTAGTTTTATTTCATTTTTTATTTTACGGTTCAGAACCCATTTTCAGTAACTAGGGGTCTAGTTTTACAATAGAAAAATTGATGATTTAAATTCTCCAAATACCCTGCTTATGTCTAATATAAATATTAAGCCCTACAAAAATTAATTTCTCGAAATTTCATAAAATTGAATAAGTGGGAGGTAACAGATGTAAAAAAAAAACAAGAACATTTTTACTAATATTTTCTAAAAAAGAAACATTTCTAAAATAATTTCATTCGTTTGTGAATAAGCCGTGAAAGTTTCATTAAAATCCGACAATTATTTGATTTTTGCAAGAATTTCTATATCAATGTGTTTTTCACAATTTAACCAAAAAAGATTAAAACATATAATTTAATAATCAAAAAGTTATTTCGTCTTTCCATTTAATAATAACAAAGATTTTGATGATAAAACTAGCTTCGGCTTTACGAAGTGGAGCCGCAGATACTGCTCAGGGCAGCGCAGTGAGATTTTTAAAGATGGATGCTACATGCACATTGCTGTTATCTGTTCTATAAAGTGAATACTTTCATGACCCAGCAAGTGTAAGGATTAAGGTATCTCGGTTATAGGTTTTTCGGTCAGAGTTGCTTTCTTCTAGTTAGATGGTCGAGAGGGTTTAGCCTGTTAAAAGAGTAACCAGAAGAAAGGCTATCTGGAGAAGATTATAATCTCGAACTTTCCGCATAATTTTGTTGTTTTTTTTTTTACATACGGTTTTCAAGTTTGAATTTATAATGTTATTACTGTAAATGTTACTTAACTTTTGGGTCGACTATTGCTTGCTTTATACAAATTACTGGCTTAACAATAAATCTAAGCATTAGTTCATAACGACCAGCACGTGATGTGCAGAGTGACTTGCCGTTTTTAACCGTTTCTTGAAAAAGTAGACGGAAATTGAAAAATTCATTTCAACGCACTGAAATTCTGCTTAGAATCAATTCTTGATTTCTTTCCGAGCGATGTGCGTATGTATGGAAGCATATATTCACAAACACGCTCATCATCCAATAGTTTAACAAATTTTTCGTAGATTAACACAATAAATGTCTTATAAATGTTTTATCGTTTCCGGATCAATAATAAAAAGAAACTAAATCAAATGACTTACCGCATAACTTTGTACTTTGGTCGCGCTTGCTTCTTATCAAGAATAACCACTTCGCCATTGAAATGTTGATTATTGATTATCCTAAAGAAAAGAAAGAGAAATACTGAATGAAGAAACCCACAAACAGAGGTTGTCTAATGGTTAAAGAAAGCAAAATTAACTCAGCTTAATTGCGAAAAAGGATTCTAATGGTTTATAATTAAAAAGAATAAAGTCAATAAACTACTTATTGAAGAAAAATGGCGGCGATATAGCGAAATGCAACGATGTGTATTATACCAAATGTAATACACGGTTATTCATCGTTCATAAGTTGCATCGAGCCGTCAATTTCAATCACACTAATATTTAAGGCAAAGACAGGAAATGACAAGAAAACAGGTGTCGAACTTAATGTATTTCCAGCTTATACTCTAATTTCAATCGTATCTTCTAGAATGTAGGACAAGAAGAAAGGTTCATAACAAGGATTAGCATTCATTTCAACTGGTAAACAAATAAGCAAATCTTTTGTTCTCAGATTGAGACCATAAATTTAAGTTCACTTAGTTATATGACATTCGAGGAGAAAACATGAAGTAGTTTGAGCCTATCCTGGTTTGTTCAGTTTCTTGAGTCAGTCAAGGAACTTCGAAATCGGAATATATAAACATGTAGGTAACTACATAAAGACAATCGTAACTGGTTAGAAACTCTGGCAGTCTCAGACCAAAGAAACTGGAATAAGGCATCTTTCAATATAAGGAGTCGCAAGAAGTGATGAAACAATTTAAGGTTTTATACTGGGGACAAAATCTGAGTAGACGCTTCATGGCAACTTTTCTGCAGTTGCTAAAAATCTATCACTATCTTCTACTGGTCTTATATATTTCGCTTTGAAGACCCTTCACCTATTCTTTTGTCTGAACTTTTTGAGAATGTCTAGTATATATCACACATCGCAGTGTCACAATACTTGCCATAAAGCGATGGTTGACAAACTAGTGTCGTGACTCATTCATTAGTATAGTGGATTCGATATCTAGTAGTTACTACAAATTAAAGTTTCATGAAATAACTATCTATGCATACTACTAGCCCCCCCTCTCTCTCTCTCTCTCTCTCTCTCTCTCTCTCTCTCTCTCTCTCCCAGGCACACATATACACGCGCATACCCAGAGGTAGCAATATTGAGACAATCGTAAAAATTAGAAATCTCTGACAGCCTCAGACTAAAGAAACCGGAATAAGCGTCTTTCAGTAGACGGGATCGCAAGAAATGATGAAACATAAAAGATGCCAACATCAGAATATTATGCAAAACCAGATCGGAGATGTCGACACGACATTATTGGTGGTTGGCATTCAGATATTTTGGCACCCATTTGGCTAACAGCTTCTGCGTACCCAATTGATCATGAATTATAGACCCAAAGCATCTCTACTATCTCAGCAATTCTTTTGGTCGACATTTGTCGATCTGTCAAAATTAGGTCATGAACATGATAAACAATTTCAGAAGATAATACCGTTGAAGCCTCCCCTCCCAGACTATTTTTGCATCTTGAGTCACAAATTCTCCGCGTTGAATGTTGGTACACAACTTTTTCAAAGTTGAGTATGACTTGTCACTCAGTACACTCGTGGTTATCCTTTGAAGTTTTCTGCTGCAGGAATAGAAACTTCCTAACGCACTTGATTTCGACACTTGAAAATTCAACACATTTCGTTGACCACAATATGAAACAAACTCAAAAATAAACACAAAGATCCTAGAAATTGGCACTTAGCAATGTAAAAGAACATTATTTCCAGCTACAAGAAAATAACGATCAGATTTTGGAATTTTGTTCGAGCCGAGAACTTTTCAGCAACCCATCATGTAAACATTGGGTCAATTTCTGTAACGAATATAGTGCTCAGTATAGCAATTCTATTTATAATAAGCAATACATTTCAAATACTTCACATATTTCAGATAATGTTATAAACTGACCTATATCTCGTGACTGCGATAATTGCTGATGTGTCATCTGTGTTGGTCATTCTTGGGGAGGGAATGGTGCTTAGAATACACCGACTACATACCTTAAAGAGGAGTAAAATCCCTCGTGCCAAAAGGAACAACGTTATGTGTAGATACTTGCAGATTCTAGTTTAAATCAGGAATATCTATCCTTTTTTTACTGTAGTGCAAACCTGACCTATATCGGTCATTTTTTACTCTAGTGCGGCGTTTCTCAACCGGTGCGCTCTGGGGCACTAATGCGCCCTGAAAGGTAGCCAGTTACACCCCAATTTAACAGAAGAGTAATTTATGTATTATTTTTATATTTTAAAAAAATCTTTATTTTTGACAAGCTAGAGGCATCAATCACATGGCTTCTATGTCGAAATCATGTCTTTGCCATTTGTTTTTTTTTTTTTTAAATTGGATGCTAAATTCCTTAATCTTTAAGAAGGATTGGATAATTCTTTCTCTTTTGCCTTTCTCAAAGGATTTAAATCAGCCATTATCAGCCAGTCTAAAAAAAAATGACAGATTCTTCATGATTCCTTTTAAATGAAAACTGTATCGCTTTGGGGATGCTAAACCAAAAATGACAGCCATTAAAGGCAACTGTCTTCTTTGTTAAAGCACATCAAGGACACTTAAATATGTAATGTAATGTCTTAAAAATAAATGCTTATTTCAGGAGGTTTTTTTTTCTATTTCCAAATTACGTGACAAATTTTTCCTTGTTAAAATTTAAAGTGCGTCCCAGAGTTTTAGTTATTCTACAAGTGCGCCCTGAAGTTAAAAAAAAAAAAAAAAAAAAAAAAAAAAAAAAAAAAAAAAAAAAAAAAAAAAAAAAAAAAAAAAAAAAAAAAAAAAAAAAAAAAAAAAAAAAAAAAAAAAAAAAAAAAAAAAAAAAAAAAAAAAAAAAAAAAAAAAAAAAAAAAAAAAAAAAAAAAAATGCTGAGATACATTGCTCAAGCGCAGTAAGGTGTAGAAGGGAGGCGGGGGATGCGACGGCCCTGGGCATCCATGTCGGGAGAGCTGGTGTGAATATGGATCCGTGTTTTGATAATCGAGACAGGGGTAACCTCCATCCTACTTGAGTCTTAGGGGTATACAGTCAAGGAGTTGGCTTCGGATATCACCAAACCTCTGCACGTCACTGCTCTAGTGTAACTTAGATTTATTTTTATTCTATTAATTCATTGGGATTTTTGTCTTATAAGAATTTAGCTAACACAACAAGAATTGATATATCGTTTATTTAAACAACTTAATTCTCTGTGCCAGTGATCGTATCTAAATAATAGTCAATATTTCAAATAATGATGGTCAGTTCATCTTTCTCACCTGGATGATTGACACGAAACAATTTCCCAGCCTCTATCTCCTTTATTGAGTTTTGTAGCAGACTAAGCTAAACTTACTACTTACTGATATCTGGGACTGCCCTGTGGCTGGTAATTGCCTATTTCTTACCAGCTCTAGTGGTCAGTGTGTCCCCACCTCAGGTAAATGCCAGGATTTCGAATATTGATTTTTCAAGGCTAGCGGGCCTTTTAGAAGGTTAACTCAACATAATCTTCCTAACTTCTATTTCCTACATTTGAATTGGTGCCGAGCAAAACTAAACTTAATAAATATTTATATATCGATACTAATACTTGAGTGAGTGTGAATGTGTACGTGTGAAGAAAGAAAGAAAGAAAGAAAGAAAGAAGGAAAGAAAGAAAGAAAGAAAGAAAGATCGAGGCCCTTAGACTACTGTCGTCCTCATTTTCGCTCAGTGGACGTCGAGTTCCAGTGAAATGAACGTCTGCTTATCACAAAATAAATACAAGCACAAGCCGCCATCGGCTGAAGACCGTTTTCATCTCCAGGCATCCGTACATCCGAGCACAGACGTTCTGCTGTATGCAATTTCAATCTAGGATTATCATCAGAAAAAAAAAGCCCACAGTCCTGGGTCAGCGAGTGGAAAATCTTTCCATCTGCCATTGGCGTCGATCGAAATTTTTCAAAATTGTTGGCACACGGAGCGGAATCAGTCCTGAGACTTAATTTTGCACATGCGCAAATAAACATTAAGCACATTTTGTAAGATTGTGTAATGCTATTTCTTTGGTTCAGTGTTTTGTCCACTTCAGTAGGTCAGACAGACATTCATATGCATTACGCATACATTAGTAAATGGATGTAACATAACAAGTGACATTTTTATCGCGTTTGAGGTTCTTTATGTCTTTTAAGAAAAGCCAATAATTATTGCATTATTCAAAATTGTGAAGAAATGAATAAAATGAATAGCGTTTTTTGTTTCTTAATCTCTTTACTTTATCGCATGAACTCTTATATAAGTTATTATCATTTACACGTTGACTTTTATATATTAATAATCTTCAATAACTTTTCTTGACATGTCTTATTTGGAGGCATTACTAAAATTATGATTTAACTGTAAAAATCAATCTCTGCTATGGACGGTAATAAAGCAGCATTTAAAGATTTAGATTTAAACTAAACAACAAAGAATTAGCGCGAGTTGTATGCTGGTATATATATATATATATATATATATATATATATATAATCTGTGTGTGTGTTTATGACTTTTATTTTATTTTTATGTTTATCAAGAGTTCTTTAAAAGGAATTTAAAATAGAGCACTCGTATATACGTAAGAACATATATTCGTTTTGTATATTTGGCCAGCAATGTTAAAACATGTATTTTAAAAAAAATAGGCATTTTATATCTGCTAAATTCAATGATCTTTTTCTAATGTACGAATATCTTTTTCACAATTGTGGATGCTGTGCAGTCCAAGCGTTTGACTTACAGAAGCCGTTTACATCCAACTTGAGCAACTTTCCATAAAAAACAAATCTGTTGTCTGAAACTCTGCATAAAACAATTACACTTTATTACACGTTGCTGTCATATGACTTGCTGCATATAGCTCCATTCGATTTAGCTTTCCAAAAATAACAACACTTTAAACAATGATGATACAGTCTACTTCTTAAAACATGCTTATTTTTCTTTGCTCACTCAAACGATGAGTCATTTTGATCAAAGACTTAAACTGCACAATATGAAATTTGGGCAGTTTATCCACACAAAAAATCACATTTGCTAATAGATATTCGGACATTAAAAAAAAAAAGAATCATTAAATTTATTAAACATAAAATGACTATTGTATTATATATATATATATATATATATATATATATATATATATATATATAAATTGTGTATTTGTGCAGTAATCTCTGTTTTATACAAGTTTCATTAAAGACGACTAACAAGGTGCTGTTATTAAGCTTTTTATTTGATTTTTCTTATGTTCATATAAGTATTCCCTTTTCTGGTCATTATCGAGGATGATTTTAATTTTTTTTTAACTGAATGTATGGTGCTCATATTTGATGTTATTGTGTATTGGGAAAACTCAATAATTTCAACTATGAACACCAATATTCTGGAATATTTGGAAACTAAAACATTCCTATATCTCTACCTAGTTACATACAAAAAATCCATAGATTCATTTTAAAATATTAATAATACAGGTTTTATTAAATATCACAGAATTTTTTTTTTTTTTTTGTTTTACTCTCTTTTATTAATCGTTCTTATCTTATTACAAATATCTACAAAATGTATTTATCTATCTATCTGTGTGTGAGTGTGTCTGTCTAGCTAGTTGTATGGTTGTAAAGGCTTCAAATTTTGAAGAAAAATGAAAAATGTAAGATAATGATTAACATCTATAATTAAGAGTTTTTGTTCTCAATTAGTTCTTGGATTTACATTTCAAAATATGCTATAATTAATTTAGCTACAAGGTTTTGGCATATTCGAAAAGTAAAAATGTTAATGACTTGAATTTCAGGCTTACGGGTTATATCGCGTTGAAATACTGGTTCTCGTATAGTCACTGAACATTGAGCCAGGTCAGTAACTAAATGGCTGACCGCCTGCGAATTTCATGTGCTGTAAGATTGAATTTGCGGAGGGTGTAATGGATAACGGCTCGGAATTGGAAATCAGAAGACCGAGTTCCAATTCCAGCCGAGTTCTTTATATTCCCTTATTCGCAAATAGCCTTGGGAAAGGTATGAATCCACCTCTTCTCCCCTCAGCTATGGGTTAATTAGTAGGATTTGTATCAGTAAATCATTATTATATCAAAAAAATTCTTACAATCTAATAATATTTTATGGCTTTAAATAACCTGCACAAGTTTGATAAGTCGTAAAAAAACAAATCAATCAATCAATTGAATTTCAAAACGCTATATTATTTCTCTTTCTCTCCCTATTCATTAAATTAAATATGTTATCCTCCAGTATTAGTATTGGTAATACCACTGCTAATACTGGAAGATAATGTATAATAAGCAGTCTTTGTAATAACAGTACTTGATATTAAAGTATGAATAATAATAATAACAATAATAATAATAATAATAATAATAATAATAATATTAATAATGATAATTAGTTAAATTTGTTCACTTAGCTGTTGAATATCTTGACTCCGAGTTTCAGTTACATCAACCTTTCAGGAGAGTTGACAGTGAAAAGTTTACTATTAAATCTCCTGAGGAGTGGATAAGATTTCCTGAAACTTAGAGTTGAAATATTCAACAAATTTTTTATTGTGTATTCGATCTCTAGTTTTCAGAAAAAAGGATATTACGACATATATATATATATATATATATATATATATATATATATATATATATATATATATACAAGTATATAATTGGTGTATACGGAATGAATTCCAATAACCAACAATTACTATTCTTAAAAGTGTGCTCAATACAAAGTTGAGCAGATATAGTTATTTTTTATAAAAAAAAAAATTTATAACATAAATATATTATAAAATCACTACAAAAAAACATTTATTTTATATTCAACATCATCACTTGATAAGACACCGAGGGTGTTGAAACAAAATGGCTATTTTTGTAGTGATTTTATAACAAATTTATGTTATAATATTTTTTTTTTAATATATATATAATATATATATATATATATATATATATATATAGTCTTCATGTTGTGGTACTTCCCACCCACGCCAGTGACATTTGTTTGAGCATTCCATTTTGAATGTTGCTTTTTCAAAACAAACAGGCCTTCACCACTCGGGACTTCTGGAGTTATATTATTACCCTCTTCTATTAGCAATTTTGGCATTGTGCCAACTGTAGTAAATAGCTATGTTACTTATGTATATGTGCATTAAAACCGGTACAAAAGGCCAAACTGATAACGTTGGTAAAGAACATTTGCCCGTGAGATTTTATTCCGGCTTCTTGAATTACGATCTTCAGAAATTTAAATGCAACATCAATCGTCATTATTCTTTTTCAATCCTGTTTTTTTTTTTTTTTTTTGCCCATTTCACTCAATGGCATTTTCGAAGTTTATTTCACTCTCAGTAATCCGTTGCGTCTTAGTTACTTTATCCCCTTGTTTGAGTGAAATGATTAAAAAAGAAAAGGAAAAACGAAAACAAATGACTACTCGTGATGAAGAGAAAAAGTGAATATGAAATTTTAAAAAATACGATTGTTTTAATCGTTTTCAACCTAAGAAGTTTCTAAAATATCAAGCTTTTATTAACTTTTATTAAAATTTTGGAAAAATTTTCAGTCATTGTGGCTATAATATTCATGGTTCTCTCTTTCGCTTGAATGATTTTGTTTTGTTTTTTGTTTGTTTTTCTTGGGGGGTGCTTTCGTGGCGACAACGATGGACAATAAAATATCCAAATTTTTCTATCAATGTGACGGTAAGACGGGAAAGTGGTTTGGAAGTGGACATTTTTTGTCTTGCCTAAATATGTGCGCAACCTAAGTTAAAAAAACCGGCGTTCTCTTGTAAAGAATATCTTTCCACCTTACAACTGTACACTTTGATCACTATGATTTTCATCCCGTTAATCAAGTTGGTGTCGGGTCTACTACGAATGTAGCAGGAAAGAATCAAAATGTGAGGTTTTAAAAACACAATAAGATATTGTGACAAAATAAAATTGTGCCGTGAAAAGTAAGAAGCGGAAAAACTATAAAAAAGTTGGCGAATGGGCCAGAATCAAAGAATTTCACGAGAAAATATATAAACAGTGCTTAAACCTTAAAAAGAAGTCATAAAAGTTGAGATTTATTTGCCACGAAGGCAAAACGTGGCACCAGATTTATGTGACGCTCCACAACTTCTCTATAGGGCCAGGGCATTATATCTAGATGTGGGACTATAGAGTAAATATAGCATGTTAACTATATAAACATGCGAAGCCGAAGCGCAAATCGTCCTAGGTATGACGATAAACTACATCCAGCAGCAAGGCCTCTGATCTACATATTGTAGGTTTTGAGGAGCGTGGAATCACATCTTAACCTACTGTTGTTTCCAGGTACATCCTAACCCGGGTAGTAGCACCTGTTAGGGTCCCAGCTATGGGTAAATAGTAATACTCCAAATAAATATCAACAGTACATAAAATGACCAGCAATACATTTTTATAGCAAAATAACAATTAATACAACACTAAAAAATGTAAAAATACATTTTTATCGTAAAATTACCAACAATACATGTTATGATCTACAAACTACATATCTAAAAACATACCTTTACCCAGAAAATATAAAATGATGTACAAAATATCTGTAATAGAGAACATAAAATTACGTATAAAATTAGATTACGAGATACTGAAGTCAACAGCAGCGTCAGTCTGTTTGATGTTTCAACGCAATCTTCAGGCCATCTTTTTACATATGCTCTATCTCTGATATTGAGAATTTTACCCATAAATATAGCACACCTTAAAATTATATATATATATATATATATATATATGTGTGTGTGTGTGTGTGTGTGTGTGTTTGTGTGTACATACACAAACCATTCATTCTTATATTAAAATTTTAAAATGGAAAAGCTCATATATATATATATAAATTCAGATATAAATATATCTGTGAAGACAATATAAATAAAGGAAAAGATAAGAGGAAAACATTTTATGCCAATAGGTTTCGTTCTCCGCTGAACCTTATCAAGGCAAGTGTAGAAATTTTATATAGTAACCTTCATTTATACTCAGAAGTCACGTGGAAGAAAACAAAATATGGTTAAGTTTTCAAATTTTGAGTTAGGGAACATTAAAATATTCTAAAAAAATATTTAAAAGTAAACTAAAGAGGACGCTAAATAACGTAATTTATCGGCTTAGGAAACGAATGTGATATATATATATATATATATATATATATATATATATATATATATATATATTGCGCGCGCTAACCACGACTTCGGTGATCTGTAAATCGAAGGTGATTTCACACAATGTTACGCGGCATGTGAGACATTTTAATATCCTCACTTCTCTTTCTGCTCGTGGTACTAATTAGCTGCCAAGTTAATAAAGCAAAGGTCTAAAAAGAGGTGGTAATGTCTCCAGACTAGACAGTAAACCAGAAAAATACCTAAATATACATTCTCATTAAGATGAAATATTAAATATTTCTTGACAATTACCGAATACGACAGATACTTGAAGAAGACCATTGGGTAAAACAGTTGAAATGCTGTGATTAAAAACCTAAAAAAGTATACTATAAAAACGTGACATCTTCAGAAATAAAGATCAGTTTGCTTTAACTAAATACTTTTTACTCTAAAAAAATCCTTTCTCTGATGAGCAGACAATAAAAATAGTTTATTTAATAGTTTCTGACAATCACTGGCGTAAAACTACAAATTAACAAAGATTTAAAGATTTTCAACAGTTAATGTGTTGTATAAAATAACTCTTATGTCCTTGTATTTTGACGTAAATTTGTCGGACGTGGGAAAGTCTCAATGCATGTATACAACTTTAGCTACAAAACTCATCATGGAATTTTTTTTTTTTTTGTCGTCGTCTGTTTGTAACAATACAAAGAACTGCAACAAAGCCGAAATGTAATGGATAACGAAACAAGCGTCAAAGAGACTTCTAAAACTTACGCGCTCAGATTGGAAACAAAGGCAGACTCGGGTAAAATAACGTCCCACGTGATCTCTTGGACTTGGCCGCCGGGATTATTCAGCTCACCTATCAGGGATGTTCGAGCGAAGCGATATCTAATATTTGAATGTATCTTCAAGCTGGAAAATCGAGTCGTACCCTGTAATAGAAAAGATTGATATTTATACCTCGTGCTTATCGGAGGTTTTATTGTCATTTTAATTACACCTCTGCAACGGACTGAAATTAATTATTTCTTAATAATTTCTAAATATTTTATTTACTTCATATTCAGATATTAGCTTAACATTCTCGATAAAAGCCAGCACACACATACACACACACAAACACGCGTGTGCGCGCGCGCTCACCACGCTCATACATTTATCCAAGGGAAGAAGGCAAGGCAGAGCCAACAAAATGGTTTCGATCCTGGTAACTTATTAAGAATAATATTTTTCCTTGTGGGCTTTTCGGAAGTATGTCCACTAATTTTTCTTCCTTCCTGGCATAGTCTTATTTTGCTGAACATCTTCGATACGATTGTGAAGAGTATGCGAAGGAGAAAACTCTTGCGAAATTACAATATACTCTCAGAAATCGTCCGGTTCACACTCCTCCCCGCTTTTGAGCAAGAGTAGATGTTTTTCTTGTTTCCTGTTTAGGATTGAGTTTCCGGTTCTTTCTAAAGTTCTTCTTTTTTTTTTCCCCTCCCAGTAGTCCCTTTCGTCTTATTAGCTTTATCGCATTGATTGGGATGAATTGATTAAAAAGAAATTAGCACTAATGCCATCATCCTCATTGTTGTTGCTATCACAACGTTTCGACCCGTTGTGCCCTACGTTCTTTTTCAAGTGTTTGTCGAACTGATTAACCGTGATTAATAAACCAAAAGAAATAACAGCAAAGTTTCAATAGCAGCAGTAAGGAAAGAAAAGGAAAGAAAAAAAAAGGGAAGAAAAGAAAAGGAAAAGAAAAAAAGAAAAGAAAGGAAAAGGAAAGAAAAGGAAAAAAGAAAAAGAAAGAAAAGAAAAGCAGAATGAAAACAATATATCCCCATAGTCTAAATAAAGGGTTCATTTCGAAATTCACTGAAGGTTGCCGGGATCGACGGACGAAGACCAGAACAACACAATTGCCGAAACGTTATGATAACAACAACAAATGGCATTAGTACGAATGTAAATAATTATTGTATTATGTCTATATATTGTCCTCCATTCTCAGCAACGTCGAGCCTAGTCAGTACCTAGATGGGTGACCGCTTGGGAATACCAAGTGCTATAAGCTTGTATGTGCGGGTGATGTAATGGATAATTGCTCGGCATTGTTAATCGGAGAGCCGAGTTCTAATTCCCGTTGGGTTCTTTAGATTGACTTACGGGAAAGGCATGAATCTACTTCTCCCCCGGCTATGGGTTAATTAGTAAGACTTGTATCATTAAGCTATTATTATCTAAAAAAATTCTTAGATTTCTAAAAACATTTTCTGGCTTTAAATAACCTGCAAAACATTGATAAGCCGTAGAAAACAAATCAATCAATCAAATCTGTTCTCAGCACATAATTTCAGTCCACCAGAACGAAACATTCTTATTTCGATTATGCAGATAAATGGTGTATTCATCTGCATAAATGGTTTTGAAAAAATGGTACACACATCTGTAAAAACAGCTGAAAAATCTTTGTGAAAGGTTTTTTACTGCCAGCATCATATCGTCAATGAATAATTTATTTGATGTGAGCTAAAGTTTATCTCTCTCCCTCTCTATCTCTTTCACTCTTTCTCTCTATCTCTTTCTCTCTACCTCCCTCTCTCTCATGATAGACCGCACAGAAATCATTACTTTTTATTTTTTTTAAAGCTGGAAACTTTTGCATATATCTAATAAATAATAACTTCGTTCGCATATTTTCTTTAAAATGTTCTTTTTAGATAACCCGTCGAAGCCCCGGTTCGAAAGATCAATTTTGAATAATGAATAATTCGCTTGAAACCCAGAATTCCTTAAACCGGGAATGCTTCCAGTAATACAAACTTTCTTTTCTCGCAGAGAGTGTCGCTCTTACTGAAATTGCACAAATATCCTTCTCAGTTAATGTTAGGCACGTCGTCGAAAAATTGGATGATATACTACAATGATTGGAGCAAGCTAAAACATATGATAAGAGATAGAAATGAAAATGAAGGACTTTACTTAAAAACTTGGACAAAGTTGGTTAAAAATCCGAAATTTTTGTCTCAAGATTTAAAAATCCCCGCTTTAAAAAAAAAAAAACACCTTTAGGAAATTGTTTCCCCAAGTAGGTGTATCTCCATATTAGACAGAGCGAGAATGAGAGGGAGTGTAAATCGTTTCAATTTTGTTTTAAGATATTTCTAACTCCTGAAGGCCTACTTCAGAAAAGTCATTTCAAGATGATTTTGAGGTAATCTGGAACTGAAACTAAATAATGGTCTTGAGTTACTGGACAGAATGTCGAAATTCGAGAAGATTCTCAGCACAAAAAACACTCAAAATTAAATAAAAAGAAACGTCTTTTTTCAATCTGGTTATCACACTTGTTGAATCTTTATGAAAATTATTCTGATATATCTACACTCTCTCATAATCACACATCCAAACACAGGCTTTCTTTTATATTATATACACTAGTTTCAGTTATAATATCCAATGAATCTACGTGAATAGGATGAGGTATAAAACAACTTACTATTTTTTTCCAAATACAAAATCTACTGAAAAAAGTTCAAGTCATAAATAGCGATCATAAAAAAGATGAACGTCAAATAAGTTTATGACTTCTCTTAAAATTTTCACATTGAACAAGTCCTTGTATGTATTAGATTTTTATAAACGTTTTTTCCTCACTTACATGTAATTATCAGAAAGATGCAAATAAAAGTAAATATATTCAATATATGTTTTATTTAGTTACAACGATGTTAATTGTTGAGATATCCACCATGTTGTTGATTGCAAAAGTTAATATATTTTTGACTTTTACTAAACCCATTTGGATGACTATTGGTTATTATACTCACAACGTTTCGGTCATTATACCTTCCGGCTTTCTTCAGTTGTTTGATATACTCGGCAACCATTTCAGAATTTTAAACTGAATCCTTTATTCAATTCATGGGATAGATTATTCTTATTCCGCTTATCTTGTATCTGTTAATATTCTCCATCTATTTGCTTTTATGTTGTTTGTCTGTTTCTTCAATTAAATCAGCGTATATGACTAATCTGCACTACCCGACCCAGGGTCTGAGCTCACAACTGCTAGGGAACCAGATATGCGTTAACTAATGCTTGTAATCCACTAGGCTATGTGTCACTTAGACAATTTCTGTGTGTAATTTGAGAGACAAACCTTCTATCTGCACAAGGGTAGTGAACGTTTTGAGTATCCTTTCTTTCTTAATCAAAGGCTTCTAGATTCTGTTCATCTCTAGTCTATATCTACTGGGGAGTTTATCAGTCTATTGTTTAATGATTTTTTTCAGTCATCTTATTCTCCAGTATTGTTCTCTGTCTATTATCTTGACTTCATTCTCCTTACATGATCGGCCATCCCTGATTTCTGTGTGACTCGCCCAGGGTTACAGCCTTTCAATGTTTCTTTACCTTTATTTTTAGGTAGTAACTAGTCTCATCTTGATATTCCTTACCACAATTGTTTCTAAACGTTTCTGTTTGAGAAGGTTACTGAGTACGGCAGATACCTGAAGGAGGCCGGAGGGTAGAACGGCTGAAACAACGTTAGTATAAGAATCAAAAAGCGTATACGAGCCTGAATGGAAAAGCATATAATATAATAATAATAATAATAATAATAATATATCCCGACATAAAAAAATTCTTAAATTATTGTTCATTCGTGGGGCAGATCAGATAATTATTTGAACAGAGCATTTTTTAGAGTTAATCTTTGTGGAACAAAAGAAATGTTTTATTTATTTTTTATCTCTTAAAAGGCGCTACATATCAAATCGGGTTCTATTTCAAGAATTTATAATTATTTTTCAAATAATCAAATGAAGGAACTGTTTTGCAATCAGCCAAACTCTGGTGACATTTAAAATTTAATGTTAGCTTTACTTGTACTCAAATTCTTTATTAGCACGAGTCTAGTGATAAACGATTTTTGAACATACAACTTATTTTCTGTAATAAAGCATAGAAATTCTCATGATGGAAGAAGTAAAGAAATGAAAAGATTAATAATTTTTGCATAAAATATTTCTACATAAAAATACATATTATTATTTTTACAAAATAATGTTATCATAATTTCACATATATCATTAATTTATGCTGCAATTACTAATCATTTCTAGTCATTTTCTCTTTCGATGTTGATATGAAATTTTTCAGCTTTTGTAACAAACATACACACATATCGTTATTAGGAGGCGTTTCTTCGATTCCGATTTTTACATTTTGTATCTAAAAAGCTATTAAAGACTTAATAAATATCATATATTTATATATACATACATATATATATATATATATATATATATATATATATATATATATATATATATATATAGAGAGAGAGAAAGAGATTTTATTGATACCCTGTATAAAGTGTGTGCGTTTTATAAGTATAGCAAGGAAAGATACACACACATGCCCACGCAAAAACACACACATGCCCACGCAAAAACACACACGAAAACTCGAGCACACAAATAATCTCACCTCGCAGAGTCTTCTGTCAAACAAACAATACCACTTTTGCTTCTCTAGGTCAACTGCTGATATGTTAACGGTTATTGCTGTAAGAGTCTGTCAACCTTTAGATAAGAACAGTGAAATTCGGGCTGTTTGTTTAGATATCACCAAAGGCGTTTGATAGAGCTTAGCATACTGGTTTTCTTCTCAAGTTCAAGTGTTATGGTGTTTCTGGTCGAATTCAATTTTTTTTTTTTTATCAAATCGCAACATGAAAATTATCTTCAACGGCTACTCTTCTAGACATTTTTTTTTTTTTTACATTAATTCTTGTGTCCTTCAGGTTTCGATTCTTGGACCGACGTTATTATAAACTACCTTCACTATATCATAACCCTACATGACACCAATCTGCCCCTGGGTGGCATACCACTAGCGTTTACAGCTGGTGGCCCGCTGTCGGACCGCCGGCGCG